TTCACCCACAACAACTTCAGTTTCAACAGTCAACACTTCTTCCAAACTGTGAGCACAGCTCTGGGCACAATGATGCCCTTCAAATATGCCAACCTCTTCAAAAACACCTGGAGGAAGACTTTCTAGAATATTGCACCATCAAACCTGCATTACATACGGGATATTTTCCCCATCTGAACTGGACTCAATGGCTTCTACAACAGGTTTAATAACTATCATCCCTCAATCAATTTCTCTCTGACATTCACATGCTCAATTTTCTAGACACCATGATCCACATCTGGGATGGCACCCTACAAACCACACATACCAAAACCCCACAGACCACAATGCTTATGTCCACAAGAACAGTAATCATCCTAAGCACACCAAAAAGCTATAATCTACAGTCAAGGCCCTCAGATATCTCCACATACGCTAGGAGGAGAACATTCATGATGTCCACCTGGCCAGCCTAACATCTACTTTTATACAACAAGGATACTCCAGTAGAGAAATATGCCTTGTGACTACACACCACTTGTGGTCACCTACCACCCACACTGAAACCAGAGAAGAATCATCAAATTACTATCTATACTCAACTAAGATCATACCTTGAGAGAAATATTCCCAGCCCCTCCACTTCTGGCTTTCAAACAATCCCCTGCCCGTGTCCAACTCTCATCACCAGAAACAAAATCCCCAGTGCCCAACAGACATCAGGTGGGACACAGATTTGCTTCAGCAAGAGTCAATACATCTCAGCTGCTACTATAAAAACCCTGCCCCCCCAGCAAAAACAACGCCAACCCATCAGAACCCATGGTTCTTACTTTCCCAAAATCTGATACATCTGATCCAGTGCACCAAATGCCCCCATGGTAACTACGTGGATGAAACTTAAACAGTAACTATGCACCAGAATGAACTCAGAAAAAATATAGAAAGGACACAGATGCACATATGTCAATAGAAGCACATTTTTAATAGAACAAATATTCTCGCTCTGACATCTCTATCTGCATGCTAAAGGGAAATCTACCAAGCATTTTTAAAAGACAAGTTTATGAATAAAAGTTCATAAGCTGGTTAGGTACTAGGAACCAAGCTTGTGAATAAAAATTCATAAGCTGGTTGGGTACTAGGACGAAGGAACATCAACACTGATTTTATGGCACACTGTGATCTACCTGATTCCTGATTTTTTTCCTACAGAGAGGCAGTAATGACCCTCCTCCCTTTTGCTAGGTTGTGATCTTACAGTAATCATTCTTCTTTTCTTCTGCTAATTGTTTGCTACCTCTGGGAATTTCTCCCTCCCTCCAATTTTACAGCTCTATCCACTGTTCATAATGATTGCTGTGCTTACCTTCCTCTTCAGACCTAAAGAAGAACACCTTACATTCCAAATTTTAGCTAACTATATCCAAACTATCTCTTATTGGTTCAATAAAATGTATCACCCCCAAAAAATCCTTGCCTCTGACAAAGTTTTAATAACTTTACTTCTAACTTTACTTCCAAAACAGCTGCTAGAGAAGATGGTGATGCCCACTTTTGTGTGCTGTGGTTAAAGCACTCTTCCAGGAAGTAGAAGATCCAGGTTCAGTGGCCTCATAGGCCACATCTAAATGAGTGTGGATGTTTGGTTCCCCAGGGACAAGTAGCAGCAGCGCACCTTGTACATTGGCATGCTGCAAGTTACCCCAGGGACAGTAGGGAAGCCTGGGGCCAGCACTGTGCTGGCTCCAGAAGCCTTACTTGGGATCGTGGGGGCCTCCCAGGGCTGCAGCAGTGGAGATTCTGCCACATACAGCCTGGTTGGCAGCCACAGTGCAGCTCCAGGTAGCCCGGCTCTGCTTTTCAGTGGTTACGGTGTCTGTGTGTGCTGCTCTGTTCCCCGCCCCCCCACCCCGGGTTTTTTTGACCCCGTGGGAAAAAAACCAGGGCAAAGCACACATGAGCAGCGTGCCCTTTCAGTGCAGAGAATGCCAGACTCTGCAGTATGTGGCTCTGCAGACTTGTTTGCGGCACCACATACCGCATGGCTGGGCTCGTCTGGACATACCCATAGTGCACAAACCTATAACATCTACCTCCTAGGAGCATTTTCTTCATACCAGGCTGTAAGCTAGGCAGGGTATAGGGTACTCTTCAGCCTCCTTTTGAAAATGGTACATTTGTACAGAAAGGGATGATGGATTCTTGGGGCTTAGTGCCAAGAACAAAAAAAGAGAGCCAGACTTTGGAGACTAATGGTTAGGGCATTTGCATAAGACTAAGGGGTGTGCTGGGTTCCAGCTCCTGCTCCCACAGCTGCTAATGTGCATCATATTAAATGGTCACGGAATGAAAACAACAGAAATAATCCTGGAAATAGGGTTATAATAGTGTCGTAATAGTGTCTGATCTTCAGTTGGCATAAGTTGACATAGTCCATGGAGTTATGCCAATCTAACCCAGCTGCTGATGTCCCTGGACATGGGAGGAATTATTCTGATAATTTAAATCTGAATTCTTGCAAAATAGAGGCTATTCAACCTGAATTAGTAATATATATATCAGTTACAATAACTCATATCATTATCCAAAACACCTACACACATCCTTCATTTTTAGGTGCAAAAATAGTCACATTGGCTTCAAGTGAATAAATATTTCTTAGAAGACTGTGATTTTAATCACAGACTTTTAACACTTTAGAACAGCAGTCATAGTGCCAAGTTTTGTATTTGGTATTTTAAATTTTGAAAGTTGTGTGTGTGTTTATCTTGGGCTGTTTTGAATGTCATAGGGATTGTCAGGGTATGTTGTTTATTCGAAGTACATTATAAAATAGTCGAACATAATTTTTTCATTTTATGGTTTTATGAAGAAATATATAAATAGAGCTTTTTAAAGGTAATAGGCAACAGACTGTGCATGATACATACTCTCATCTGAAGTTTAAAAAACGGATCCAAGTGCCAACAGTCTAGGATTTATTTTTATTTATTTGTAAGAATGATGTAATTATTTACTATAGAGCATTATAGGCATATAGAGAAAACAAGGCTTGTACCATTTTGCTTTAAAAAATCCTGTCAGGCTGAGAAAACCTTGACTTTTCATTTTTATTTCTATCTTTCCTTCAAACACCGATTTTTCTTCCTTTTACATATTTCAGTATATTTCCAGCACATGCATCTTTCTTTCTTCCTGAGTCCCAAATATTTGTCTTCCATAAAAGCCCAGTGAATATTTTCCATCTGCATAATGTCTTCTACTACTGGCTTTGTCTTTCTGTTTTTGGTTGCAGAAGGCTTTCCATAATTGCAGCAAGTAAAATATACTTTCAAGGTATACATCTGATGTTTCTCTACAGAAAAATGTATGAAAAAGCCAACAATCACGATCACCTCATATTTCTCATTTAACCAAAGTGGTTGAGTTCTGTAATTTGGTGGTGATCAGGATAGCCAACCATTCGTAAATTTTATGGACAATCTGTAAACAGGTGGCTAAAAACCCCTGTCCTAAAGTCCACAGAAATATTTCAAAATCTTTAAAATGTACGAAGACTTGGCAAACCTTCTGTCCCACAATGCTCCCCACCAGGACCTTCAGAAAGAGGAAACACTTGGGTATTACACATGTGGGAAGGAGGCTTCCTCCTCTCTTGTTCTCAGAGGGAAGGGGGCTGCCAAGACTTAGTGGTGTGTGTCTAAGCACAGGGGGTGAGGCTTGGAGCATCTCCATCTTGCACTCACACCAACTTCCTCACAGACCCCCTGCAGTACATCCCCTCCATGAGGTGAGACCCCTTTGGATTCTGTATGTGTGTGTGTGTGCACATGCATACACATGCACCATTGCAGGTTACATTATATAACATTAAGTAAAATATATGTCAAAAAAAAATTCTTGTCCGTAAAAAGTTCGCAGGCTGTCAGTAAAAAAAATAAAATTAGAGTGTGGCAACCCTGGGGGTGGTGGTCCTGGGGTCTTTATACTATCCTGGGATGTGGTGTTTAAATGGGAAGGCCATCAAGTCTCCCACTCGACTGAAATTTCTAGCAAAACTTTTAATTCTATAAACTAAGAACTTGCCTTTCTAAAGAACTGGACACGTATGTACAATCTCTGTTTTCCTTTATTCTCAAGACTCCTCTGGTGAGTTATTCTGTCTTTTAAAGAGAAAATTCCTTCATACTTTAAATGCTACCCTAACTACATTTTATTACAAAGTGTAAATCAGTAAATGAAACATAAGAACTTTAAATATAATTTAAAGCAATAATGAACAATTAATCACAATGCTAAGTTAGACTGAAAGTATCAGTTTTCTCATTAGAAACCACTGGCAACTAAAATGTTATTTCAGCATTTGGTTCAGTGAAAGATGACACTGAAAGAACTGAGGTTTCTAAATGTTGTTTTGATTTTTTCTCAATTGATTAGCATTAATGAGCATTATCTAATTTTTTAAATTTCTTTAAGTACTGGAGTGCTGCTTTAGACTGTTTTCTCCCAACAGTGTGGATTCTTTCCCATTTCTCTTTTAGTATAAAACACCTTTCTGTGAAAAATAACATCAGATAATTTCTATTTAGTGAATTAAAGTATAAATCATGAAATGGAGCATACATTTCTGTGTATGGTCTCAAGGGATGTGCCCAAGCTTGGGAATTTGTGCAGAAGTGGGGAGGGAAGAGGATTGCAGACGCATAATTTGGCCATGAGTAAGCTGTATCTAAGAGTCCCTATTGATAAAATGGAAATAATCGTTTTTTACCTCCCCACAAGGTTTCGTATGGATGACTTAGCTGTTTTCTGTATATTAAGTATTATAAAAATACTTCCTAGCTTTCATTTGATGCAAAAAAGATGTTTTGGGTATTTAGGGGAGGGGAGAATTGTTTTGAGAGTATCTTAACCACAGGAGGTTTATTGGTTCCTTTCCAAATTAGAATTCCATATTTATTATATATTTCTTTTACCTGTGGGTTTTTTATGTGTTGCTCTGTCTCACGCTACAGCAGCCCGAATCATTGAAAACATGGACACCACTGCAGAGCCTTGTAAAGATTTTTACCAATATGCCTGTGGAGGATGGCTAAAGAGGAAGGTCATTCCAGAGACAAGCTCCCGTTATAGTAACTTTGACATTTTAAGAGATGAACTAGAAGTTGTTCTGAAAGGTCAGTGGAGTTTATTTCTATGGACTATATAAAGCTTCTTCCATGGCTTATATGTAATCATAACAAAACCTGTTATCTAACTAGAGAAATCAAATGTCTTCTGTATTCAGTTCTTATCCCTGAACTATTTGCTTGGATAATAATTTGAGCTTTAGGAGTTATGCTTTTGGGCACTGGAGCATGTTTGTCCAGACCTGACCCCTATGATGACTGTACTCTTTTTGTATGTATCTGGATATTACAACAGCTGAAACCAAATCATTACCCTCATGAGCTACAGGTGGCAGCTGTACTAAATGACGAAAAAAGGCATCTCCTTGTAGCCAAGCTAATCGGAACTCTTGCACATGCTGGAAGTTGCTCTTTGCCAGCCTTACAATCTGCATGTCTGTATTCCTTCAGCTATTGCCTAACAAGCAGACACATTTTAGCTACTAAGACCAAAGGCATATCACCATTCCGTTTTCACAATGTATCACAAAGTACCAAGAGCAAATTCAGGATTGTGGGCCATATCATCTCCCATGAAAGGAAAAGTGCATGAGAGTTAAGAAACTCCCTGAGTTTGAACAGGGGCATGTTCTTCCAGTCCTTTCCTTGGGAGCTACATCCTGTCCTCCACTGCACAAAGCATCCTGGGATTAAGACTTGCCATGTTTGCATACCTCATAGCATCCGTGTGAATCAGGTTTATTTTCACAGACACTCAGTGCCTCTATACTGTTCCTCAGGCTTCATCTCTAAACCTACCTACCCAGAATCTTTAATCTCTGCAAACAGTCCCTCAGCAGTCAGGCTGGGGTTGTTGTGCAACTCTATAGCATATAAACACGAACGGAAACACCTGTGGGCTGGGGAGAGGTGATCCAAAGCACGTCCCCATTCAAACATGGTACCTCCGGAGCCCTGTTCCTTTGGACCTGAAGTAAAGGGACTTGAGACGAACAAGGGGCATGGTGCAGAGCTATAGATCCTCCGTTTTCTGTGCCCCCAGCTGACTTCCTCCATAGTTTCCTCCAGTCTCCTTGCATGCAGATCAGATGCTGTAAGGTATTGCATGTAATTATTCTCTGTTTGTTTTAGATGTCCTTGACAAGCCAAGCAATAACAGCATAGCAGCAGTGCAGAAAGCAAAAACTCTGTATAGATCATGTATAAATGAAAGTAAGTTTATCCACAAATTACTACACGTAAGTTTTATAAATGTAATGCATCTAATTCATCTGTTCCTAAATTCTACTACAAAGACTCCATTGGCTTATGTGGCATTTTTCTGAAGCAGCTGGGAAGTTCTGACTCAACTTCCTGTAAACTAAAATACGTAGGTTTTGTAGAATTAAATATGCATATAAATAATGCAAATCAGTACACAGTAGTTCTTGCATTATTAATTTTGGCATTAAATGAGTTGTTTCCCTCTGGTCTTTCCTTTTCAGTATTCAGGGTGCTGCAGACTTTTGTTCTGGCAAATAAAAATTGTACCATGCAAATTAGTGGCTTCAGGACAGTTGGGACTTTGGACATACAGAAGACATTGCGGGGGGGAGAGTTTGGAATAATGCTAGAATAACGGGCAGGGAAAGTTAGTTATATTATCATATGAATTGTCATCATTAGATTTCAGAGTTTCCTGAGCTAAGTAGTGTGACTTGGAACAATTGTTTAAAGGTCTAGGCAGACTCAGGAAGACAACGCTACTTAAATTGACATTGTTTCGCCTTTTTAAGGGGTTGGGCATTGTTTGCAATCATGAGAAGTAGTTTTAAATATAAAATCTTAGGATGTTTATACACATGTTTCAGGAAGTGGGGGGGGGAAGAGGGGCATGGTAATTATCATGCTCCAGCAGACTCAGTTAATCAAGTTCAGCACTTTGGAACAGCCTCAATGAATATGTATAGGTGCCCATTGATTCTGGACTACTGTCCTCCAGCACTGGAGATGGTGAGGATGGATGCTTGGTTGCAGGGCAAGTTTCTCAGGTGCAGTCACAGAAACAGGGAACTTTACTTTATAAAAGGCAGCATAGTGTTAACATGGTTAAAATATTAATATAACTAATATTTAACTAACTTTTATTATTTTCAAAAGCTGCTATTGATAACAGAGGTGGAAAACCTTTAATTGATATATTGCCAACCGTCTTTGAATGGCCTGTTGCAACACTTAACTGGGAAACTGTCTATGGTAGGACAAGCTTTTCTATTTATCTTTCTGTTAAAACTTCTTGATTGTATTTTTCATTATTTCCAAAAGTATCAAGACTAAGTTCATTGTTCAATTCTTTAGGTGTAAACTGGACAGCTGAGACAGCTATTGCACAACTAAACGCTAAGTATGGGAAAAAGGTCCTCATAAATTTTTTTGTTGGCACAGATGACAAGAACTCCACAACGCACATCATTCATGTAAGTTTGTCTCAATGGCCTGGCATTCCTGATCCTTCAAGTGCAATAAAATACTACTATAAAAAAGTTGGTAGGGGAAAATTGAATTTAGCTAGTTAAACAGCAGCAAAACACCATTATAAATTTCTGTAGCCCTTACATTTAACAGTGTTTCTTGTTCTGAAACAGACATGTCTTTCCATTCTCAGAGTATATAGCTTTATCCTTTAGTTCTTGCACCAATTCATTGCTACTTCCCATTGTCTGAGGGGTTTTGAAACCTACAGTGAACACGACACTGATGTCATTTGTATATGCATGAAAACAATGTATCTTCTTGTTGGCTTACCACACACCACAGAGTACCCTAATGAGGGCTGCCCAACCCATGACAGATCACCCAGCCTGAAGGGTTTTACAGCTATATGTATTACCCCATTATGGATCTGCAGTCTGCTGACAGAGCTCTGAAAGTGGGCAAAGACAGGCAGAGGAGGAAGCTGGCCAAGGCAATCAGGTTATGGGGTGATCCTGGAGCACATTTGAAGGCAGCATCCACGATGCTATGCAGCTTGTCATTGCTATAAAATGAAGATGATCCCTCTCAGCACAATATCCATGGGAGGCTGATGGCATAAAAGGTGAATCCCACTATGGCCTAGTTTTCTTAGGTGATCACACTGCCACCCTCAGGTGAATCCAGCCTTTCATCTAGGAGGGTGAATCTGGTCTGTTCTACACACATTAACAAAAACACCCTGTAACTTTTGTGTCTCTGTGGAAGTTATGTTTGTCCACTGATTGCACTGTCTACTTACTTGCAAAGACATGCTGTTACAATGGACTGGACAGTACATAGGGTAGGAGCAGAAGAAAATTACTGAGACAAAGGGGAAGAATAAAGGACAGAAAGCAAGAAAGCCTGTGAGTCAGCCTTCAAATTTGTTATGATCAGCAAGAATTCACTCTCATTGATCAGAAGCAGAGATTAGCATTTAGTCCCTGCCCTCCAGGACTTCGGCTTTCCACAGTGTTGCACTATTTTCTCTACCAGCTAACTTTTTTAAATGTTCCTACAGATTGATCAACCAGGGCTTGGCCTGCCTTCTCGTGACTACTATGAATGCACTGGAGCATACAAGGAGGTAAGCTATGGCTGGTAAATTGTAACTTAAGCTCTGACCTTAGCCCTCAAGGTTCACACATATATCTAAGGACCTACCAAAACTGAGGTGGAAGTGCGCTGTATGCTAGCTCCATTAATCTTGCAGTTTCCCCCCTGCACTCCCACCCCACCATCAGTGGAGGAGCCCCACCATTAACTGCTCACCACTCACTGCTGATTGGCAGGGATTTTCCCAGGATTTTAAATACGGCGTGGTTTTTGCCTTCTGCCACTGATTGACCTAGAAGCCTCAATGATCCCACTGTTTGTTGCTGACCAGCCGGGAGGCAAAAACCACACCATATTTAAAACCATGTTTTTCACTTTGCTGCTGATCAGGAGCGAACGGCAAGGCACCTCAGTGGTGGAGAGGGAGGGAAGGGAGCATGTCCAGGAAACTGCAACATTAAAGGAGCCGCTGCACAACGCACTTCTGTTGCAATTTTGATTGATCCCTACATATATCTGATGATGAAGATGTGCACAGACAATACTTAAGAGAGAACAGTCCCTGCCACAAAGAGCTTCTGACCTAAGCTCCAGAAAAAAACATAACTTACAGGAAGCTTAGTGTAAGGAGTTCAGACCAATTTCATTTTAAAACTCGCTACTATCATGAAAGAGAAGAGAGAGTAAGAATACTTGGCAGAGAGAACAGAGTTGTTCTTCTAAGGAGAGAGAAGCATAAAGAAAAGAATTAAATCAAGAGCAAATGTAGAAAATGAAAGGAGTATTGCAGAGCCAGGTTAGCAAGTAAGAGACAAATAGAAATAAACAAGAGTTGAGGGTGGGAAAAAGGGCTGTGAAGATGAAGAGTAGGAGTGCAGTGAAGGTTATTAACTTGCTTCCATTTTTCTGCATATATTCAGAGGCAGCAGTTGGGAATTCAAGCTCCAGTTCCTGATATGCACTTAGGAAGTCACTGAGACAATGATATCTCTGCTGGAGGTAAAGATATAGGGCCAGTATTGCTTCATGATTGCCAAAACCAGCTAATATAGATATCACAGAAGAGCTATAGCAGGGTGGATCCTTGTAGAGAGTATATATGTCAGCTTCTGTGGAGAAAGAGCTGCTGCTTGACATGATGCTTTTGGATCCCTTTGAAGAAATTTCATAGATTTCATAGGCATTAGGGCTGGAAGGGACCTCACAAGATAATTGGGTCCAGCCCCCTGCCCAAGGGGCAGGAAGTCAGCTGGGGTCAAATGATCCCAGCAAGATAAGCATCCGGATGTGCCTTAGAGGTGTCTCAAGTAGCTGCTTCTGTTCCACACTTTGGGAACTTGGATGGTAAAGAAGTTTTTCCTTATGTCCGGTCTAAAACAATCTTCCTGGAGTTTGTACCCATTAGACTTTGGAGCGCCCTGGTGAATAGATGTTCTCCCAGTTCCTGGTGCACGCCCCTAATATATTTATAGGCCAGTACCTAAATTAATATAACCAACTTAGGTTGTTATTCCAGGACTCATAAATGAAGTGGGGTTATTCATAACTGGGGGGGCCCAAAAGCACCTAATGCAGTAAGATTAAGCATCAGTGTTGTTGTAATACCTCTCCTCCACTATAAGTAGGTTGTCTCATCAGAGCAACATAGGCCATTTCTGAATTACAACATCTGAGATGAACCCAGGTTAGAATGAATCTAGGGTGTCAGTAGAGGTTAGATGTAATGGCTGTGCTACCAACTTCTTAGAATTTGTGAGTTAATCGGCATTATTTGTGCTGAATTTTGAACATAGGGTTATTAAGAACACAGACATAATTTTACCACTTCGAAAAATTATTGAAAGCTTCAGTATTACCTGGCACGTTGAATTGGATAAAGCTGTGATTCTCAGTGTGCCCTTGGTTGAGATCCTTTATGGGTGCTGCAAGGTGCTGCAAACACCTACATGATTCACAAAATAACCCCAGAGATTTCAAATAGGAATCAGTAGCGTTAAAACCATTTTGATCTGTTGTGGTCTTTTTGAGTTCTTTGTAGCAAACTACTTGCTCTGTTACTTTTTCCGTATTCAAGAGATGAGTTGAAGCTAAGAGCTGGTATATTCCAGTGGGTGCCATGATTCTAACATAGTCTTGAGTTAAAAATAGTTGAGAACCACTGGGATAGAGAGGAGAAAACCAAAGGAAACCACTCAGAGCTATTCCAATGCATAATTTCTCTGGAGAGGTTCTGAAATTATCGTAGATTCCCTGGCTATCTGGTAAACTGAAGCTTAGAAGCTAAACCATAATTTCATCTGATCTTCTTTAATTCATGTTTACTTATCATGCTAGCATACTTCAATTAACATCTTGATACTGGAACTGTATATCTCTCACTGTCAACAATAGGTATGCATTAGGAGAATCTTCACAAGGTTAAGTATAGGCATTTGCTAAAAGCTAACATTGTGTCTTTAATTAGCCAGTTTTCTACCTTGTAATTGAATGCAGAAGTCATGAGAAACATGTTATTGTGTATTTGTTTGGTTGGTATTTTGCTGACATGCTAATGGTTAATGCTATGATTTATACTGATTAGTTTTAATTACAGTTTACATACCAATTAAGATAACCACTAACACATTAACTTTTTGATTTACCTTTTATTATACTACCACAGCACTTAGGAACTCCAGTCATAAATTGGATAATATTATTATTTACCATAGCATTTAGGAATCCCAGTCCCCATTATGCTAAGAACTGTACAAATATAGCACAAAAAACATGGTCTTTACACCAATATCACAATCTTCTGGCCTATCAGAAAGTAATTTATTTGAAGAAACGGTTGTTAACTGTTGATGACTTTGTATTGAATGATGACTGCTATTAGAATTTTCATATGTTCTCTCTCTCTACAAGCCTTTCTTGGATTTTACAAAGATTTTACACTTGTGTAGTGCTATTGGCTTCACTGGAACTGACCGTTATTTGCAAGAAAGAGGAGAAGAAGGACCACTGATTCATCAGATTTGAAAAACATCAATTTTTACCATGAAACAGTGGTCTTTTGTTAATATGTAACCCAAATTCCTGAAATATTAACCAAAAATATATTTGCATCGTGACAATCAATACACTAAAAACATTTGTTAGGACTTATGCTTCTAAGTGACTTGGTTGTAGAATTTAAGTCATGATATTGAACTTAAGAAGCAAATTACATGGTGTCAACTTAAAAATGAACTAAGAAACAAAGTTCATCCAAGACTTTAAGCATCTTAACACTAGAGAGTGGAGAAAGTTTCTTTTAAAAGCAAGTCTCTTAATGGTGCCAAAACCACACGCTGAGAAGACAGGGTCTAAAATAAATATTGCCACAGGCATGAATGCTTCAAAAGAAGGAGTCTCTTCCTACTACAGAACCTCTTCTTTGCTAGCAGCCATTTCTTGGCTCTGATTCCTGCTGTGTCATTTTACTTCTATCCTTGAGCTTTATGTAGCAAAGAGGACATCCGTCTCCTGTACTTTAACCTGAATGTTTTCATCTGTGTCAGGAATATTTCTCATGCTATGAGTATGTGTGCGAGGGTTTTATATTTTTAAATAATTGCTGCTCATAAATTGTTAATTAATAATTGTTGGTGCAGTGATTTTGACCCCTGCATGGCCTTTGAGATGACTGCACAATAACTAGGACCTATTTATGAGTTGTATCTAGAGATCAGTTGATTTCGTCCTTTGGCTGTTCTGATTGACCCAGGGAGGAGTATGCAGTGATCATCAAGTTACAGAATCAGCAGGCTCCTACTAATTTCAGTGGATTTTGAATTAAGCCCCATGGAAAGCTTAACAGTCTGTGGACAGATGCTGATATGCTTGAAGTATTCATAGGTTTGACAGGGACCCTCTTTGTTACTTGTCATTTTAGTGATCAGGAACTTCAGCCCATTTCCTCTGTTGAAGTGTTCTTATACAGCTCAAGACATTGAGAAGAAGTATCTTTGATAGCCCAATCCTGAGAGGTGCTGTCTATCACCAGTTCTCAGTGGATTCAATGGTCAATGCTATACAGGATGCATGAAGTACTTTGCAGGTTGAGGCCCGGAGTGCATAACAGCTGGTGCCAGTACTGAATTCTTGGCCCGGGGAAGATGGCAATAGCAGAGGCATGGTTTCTCAGGCGCTCAGTAGAATATCCATCTAATTTTTTTCATTTCAGGGTGCAGATTTAAACAAGTTGATAGCGGATATTCAAACATCCCGTGTTAAATGCAATTATATAGACACACCTTTTAAAATCCTACTGTTTTTGTCTTTATGTAGTTTAACCTATTTATATTTTCATAAAGGGCTCATGTAGCAACCAGGTTTCTCATCAGGGATGGGAATTGCCAGAAAGCATATGGTAATATCATTTCTACCTCATGTTCCTTTATGGAATAGACCCCCAAAATTAATAGGAATAGTTCTATAGAACAGGATTCTATAAAAGTTTAGTACTATAGAATCACATTATTTATATATTTATAGCTGCTTTAAAGATATCTTTATTAATTTTTATTACATTGTGCTGAATGATCCAAAAAGACCAATGGAAAGGTTATCATTTTCTGCCGAATTCCTTAGGACTCATCCATGAAGTAAATCCAATAGGAGCTGCAAAACTGTTGGTTGAATAGTTTCTATGCAAATGATATAAAATATTCTCTGAGTCTGTGGGCTCATATGAAATATGTGCATGCATGAATAATGAATACATAGTGGTTAGCTATACCAAAGAATGGGCAAGAAAGTATCACTGTAGACTGAGGAAACTATTGAGCACACAGGGTTCTATAAAATTCCCATGAAAGATATAGTAGATATTTGACTACAATGAATCATTGTTTTTGGAAATGATATCCAAAAAGCACCAGTACAGGAATAAACGTGCACTAGGATTCTTATTTTCATGTTTCTGGGATCACCTTTCCCAGAAATTTTAACTAAAATAATCTGCTTAGGAAATTTCAGAGAATTTGTGGAGATTCAGGGGTGGTAGGATTTAAGTATGGACTAGTAAATATATCGTTTTAAGTAATAAAAGCAGAATATACAGTTTTAGAATGCTTCCCCTAATTTGCAAGCAACTATATAACAATTTCAATAAAGGAAACAATTTAAGGTTAATTTTTCATTGTTATGTAAAGAGTCTTTTAGAGTGAATTTGTATACATGCGGCTAAAAAAGGAGTCCAGAACACTAATTCAAATCAAAATTAGAGTTTTAAAATATCCCGCATAAGATATGCTGTACTCTGAAGAGGTTTGTCTTGAAAGTATTTATTATTTCTCCCTGCAGGCATGTTCAGCCTATGTTGCTTTCATGATTTCTGTAGCTAAGCTGATTCTTCAGGAAAGAAATTATCCCATCAATGAGGTCCAGATTTCCAAAGAAATGGAAAGAGTTATGCAGCTGGAGAAAGAAATTGCCAATGTAAGGAAATATTTCTTTATTGTGAATTTAAGTAACGGACTTCCTTCTGGAGTGAAGGGACTATGCAGGGATATGCAGGAAAGCAAGTTACACATCAAGTTGTCAAGTTATCTTAACTGTCAAGTTACCTTAACTGTGAAAGCTAAGATGATAGTATGCAGACAAATTCTGTTCCACAGTACAGGAGCCCAACACTCAAATGTGGTTCCCATATCCTTGGAGGTGCTCATTATTGAGAAAAGAAAACAAAAATAAGCTATCTGTTTGCTCCCCAGCAGCAGGATGTTTACTTCAACCCATCACAGCTTCTGTAGATAAAGAGAGGGAGACTTGGTTCCCACGTAACTAGAGGTCTACTTAACTCACAGCGAGACAAAACAATTTTCACAGGTTGGTCCCAGTGTGGTGAGCTGGTTTCATGTGCATTTCCTGCCGGCCCTACCTCTTGCTGCTGATTGGCAAAGGGACATTGGTATCATGTTTAAACTTAAAAGATGGCACATAAACATTTTTCACTTCACTGACTGACTCCTTCAGTTCAGGTCTGTTAGTGACATAAACTAACTTAATCTGTGACTGCAATTATTGTCACATTGTTTTTGCCTTACAGTAAGCATTGACACATTCTAAAACTAATTTTTAAAGGTTTTTTTAGGTAGATTTTGTGGGAAACAGTCACCACAATATTTTCTGGCAGTTGCAGGCAACACTATTTTTCATGGTTTCTGCGAAAACCACAAGACTGTAAATAAAGTAGACCCCCTACATATAACCTGTTTAAGAAAAAGCACTTTGTAGGGTCACTCATTTTTCTGCCATCTTCCTTAACTTCTGGTTGTCAGAAGAGTAAGTTACCAATTCTTGTCCCTATCATATAACATGGAGTAGTTTTTGGCCCTTACAGATTATCAGCTCTCTCAGGGCTGAGTTTTGTAATTTCAGCATCTTTTAGTTATACCAGTGAATAAGGGTATGTGTTTCCTAGTCAGACTATGACTTCTCCCACTTTGCATAAATAAACAGAAGATTTTGATTGTTTTCTAACTTTCCAGACAAACACAGGTTTGGGCTGAGAACAAAGATGGAAAAATGTTCAATGAAAAAAATGTTACTGAAGAAAGGTTTGAGGGTGTGAAAAGAAATATCAGAAGCAAAACTACACCTGAAACATGTAACACTCACTGCTGGCATAGGCCACACTTAGTGATAGGCAAGCTACTGTTGCCTAATTTTGAACCTGCTTCATTTAAATTTGAAAAGTACAGACTGAACATGAAAACAAGGGAGTCTTCACTGCGCTGCACTGAAGGAAACAAGTGAAAAAGAAAATGCAGAGAAAAATATCAAATGAGTAAGCAAGAATAAGGAATGCAGCAGGAAAAGGAAGTGAAAAAATTAGTAAAAAGGAAATCATTTCAAAGTCTCAGGGATGGGAGAGAATGTGTTTTTAATTTAAAAAATAATGGCATAGGTAAAGTTTGCCATTCCTTCTCTAGCCAAATCAGCTGTGCTGATAGCAGCATACATCCTAAACTGAGTGCAGAAAGTGGTACTGAAAGTACTACCCTGTATAAAATAATCCATTTAGTGAGACCACTCTGTTCCCACTGTAATCTCTCTTTGTTTTCTATTTTGTCATCTCACCGTTCCAATAGCCAAATAAGAAAGGGAGGCAGGGTCCTGATAGTGCCAAATGATACTTCTTTGCTATTTGAAATGCAATAGCAGAAGCCTTAATAGCAAGAGGCAGAGGGTTAGCAATATTATAGCACCCTGAAGGCCAAAGGGCAGAGAAACAGCACTTCCTTGTTCAGTGCTGCAGCTAGGTAGGCATTTGGCTATGTTTGAGAGATGGAGAGGGGCAGTGCCTGCCTACTAGTTTCTGTCCTGCCTTTTAAATCAATACAAAGGATTTCTGTATGGGCAGGTGAAAATATAGGAGTGAAGAGAACAGAGGTATAGCTGATTTCCTTTTTATTGTTTTTTCACTCCCTCTTGATAGTGCATTTTGGTACCCTAAGCAGAGATGGGGAGGAGGAAGGAAAAGGTGTGCCAGGCACTGGAAGGACTTACCTGACCATTAGCTCAGTATGGGATCTCAAACACCCTGACTGCCTTGCATCATAGGATTTCTTCATTCTGGATGCTGCTGCCACCATTTTGAAACCCTCCTTCTCTAAATCAGTGCTTGGGGCTGGTGTCCCAGCTGACCATCCCATAATATGCTACTGGGAGAAAGGAACCACTGGGGACAAAGACTGTGTACCAGATGGCTGTTGAAGGACCTTGACTGAGGATATTTATTGTGTGAGAAAAGGGGTTGAATGTATCTAAATAGGTTAAGGGAGTATTTGGAAGATGCTATAATATTGGCACAATGATGCAAAGCTAGTTGAAAAAGGAGAAGTATTAATAGAGTAATATTAATGTGTAGTATTAATAAAGATTTAGTCCATATAATTTGTTTCTTTTTGGAGTCATGCTTATAACATATACTGCCATGTATACATGCAAGGTGCTTAGCTACATTGGGCACATCTACATGAGACACTATCTGCGCAGTAGCCTAATAACACTGTGCAGTAGCGTGCCAGGCAAAAACCATGCTAATATGCTACTCTGCAGTAGTAATAAGTTACTGTACAGTAGGCATCACTGAAAACCCATACACCAGTGCTACTGCACAGTACTGCAAGCTACTGCGCATTGATTTAGTACTTGGTTATCCAAGTACTTGGTTATCCAAGTACTAAATTTAATGTACAATAATTATGGTGCATTAATGAACTTGTAGTTGTACCCATTGTGTACTATGCACAAAGCACACGTATGTATTAATGTATCAGATCAGACATCCATCAGTCCTTTTTATATATTGTTTTTAATTTCTTTTCCTGTGGCTCCTATAAAATGCTTCCATTTATACAGTCATCTTCTGTAATTATCATTCATAGGCTACAACTAAACCTGAAGACAGAAATGATCCAATTCTGTTATATAATAAAATGACAGTGACACAACTCCAAAAGAACTTCACTTTGCGAGTCAGTAGTATGGTGAGTGATCAATAATCCAATGCTTTTCAATATCTGTTCTTGATAGATGAAACTATGTAACATTACAGAGCTTTCCTTTAAAAACTTGGGAGTACCTGAATTAAAAATAAAGGTCTTATCTTGAAACCTTAGCTCAAAATTATTGGAAAGTTATTTGATAGCTAAAAACAGCACAGATTGTGACTGGCCTTGCTCCTACCACTGCACTGTCAGGGTCAGAGGCATAGGACATTTCTCATTAAAAAGGTGTGTAGGTCTTCGTCATCAAAGCTGATATCTGAAAACCGTGTACCAACTTAATCCTGGTGGAAGAGAAGGCACTAGCCCTTTGCAGATTTTGTGGATAAACAGCTTTAAATTCTTAATTTTCTCCCCCTAACCTTCCATCTCAAATGGAAATGTGCTTACATCAGGCAGAAAGAAGCAAAGGAAGTAACAGCTAGGGCTCAGCAAGATATATCCCTACTAGCTCCTTCGGAGTGGTAGAACTCCATGCTATCTCTTATTTTGGCTGCGTTAACTTTGCAAAACAGAGCCTCCATTAACATTACCACATAGCCCAGCCAAAGAGTTTCCAGGGGGTGTCAATATGGGTGTTCCTTCATCAAAAATAAAGTTCCCCATATCGCTATCATACAAGTAACTCTCTTGTATGTAGCACACAGTAAATGATAAAAAATGCTATGGTTAGGTTAGTTAGTGTGTCACTAGAAAAGAACTTGGGCCTGTGGCATCATTTGTTAGAAGTATTACTAATTCCTTCCATGTTGGTAATATACTCTGAATTACTGTGAGTCCCATCAGTATATATATTATGTAACATCTTTCTTAATGTTTAACATTTTTACTGACCTTAAATTTCCCAAACTTAACATTACATAGAAGTTAAATTTAGCTCAGCTTATCTTATTTCCATGTCGTAGGAGTTGCTTACACCCACAGATCTTATTTGTACAATTACCCCACAGGAGCCTTGTTATCAGGAAATTATTTTGTTTGTTCACAAAACAAGATTAGCTTGCTTATTTTTAATTCCTGGGGAATTCTGCGGATGAACAACAGCCTGCTTGCTGCAAGTCCATCCACAAATACTTTGAAAGGCACCGATCGAGAACAATCTGCTTCCCTACTTCCCAAAATAAGTGGCAGATCTTGTTGACTGAAAAATGTCTGCTCTTCTTTATGTGTTATATTTAATAGATTATTTGCATTTCATAGACACAGTAACTTCTTTTCCATTATTTAAAGAACAGATTTAATAGATTTGATGAAAATATTGAATAATTCTTTTGGCATACATATTTTCCCAAAACATTTTCAGTTTCTCCAATTTCCACCTTCTCAGTCTTCATAGCAGCCCACAGATGCTCTGTAGGCTGCTTGTAATCATGAATACTTAACAGAAGGAAATACAGAATTTGAGGCCAATGTGGACGTTTTAAAAGGCCACATGAAATTTTGTATGAAGCAGTGTATGTCCACTGTTTTTGTAATGAAAATTGGCACGCCATCAACCAACAGTGAAGAGATGAATGAAGACTTTTATCATATGTTTCAATTCTGCAAGGTCTTGTGTGCCTTGAACATCAATTGAGATTTCAAATAATTGAAGGAGTTAAATACTTCTTAGCTGGTAATCAGTAACACACAGGCTAAGGTCAAAAAAGGATGAGTCAATATACATGAAAGGGTCACATTAACTGCATTAGAAAAGGAAACTCACTGTTTTTGAAACAGGCAAGGAAATTGGGTGATCTCATTGCAAATTTTCCCCAAATAGCCTGCCAATATTTTGTAATACCAACTGAGAGAGAACACCTTTAGGTGGTGGACGGGTAGTATATTCTCCACTCTCACCCATGCCTTCGCCTTTATTGAAACTATAAAGAAAAGTGACATATTATTATCAGATGTGGTGACTGTTGGCCTTAAAGTACAAATACATTCCTGCTGCATACTAGAACGAGACAAGGAACTCATTCCACGTAACCCATTGTGCACGCTCCAGCTGTCAACAACTTTAGGTAACTACTGCTGCATGTGGGTCAAATTCCATCAGTACTGAGTGACCTAATGGTGAAATACTCTATATCCTCTTACCAATCCAGCAATCCATCTATTTTCTAGAACAAAAGATAGTGACCAAAATATAACCATGAACAATAGTATTTTTCCTAGTCAAGGATATTTCAGTTAGAGTTTCAATTTTAGGGAGTTCACATTTTAAAACAATGCATTATGCAGCCTGGAGGGGCTTCATAGAATAAAATCCTTATTGAACAGAAAGTAATTTTGATAGATATTAGCCCACAAAAGCTATGTAGGCTTCTTCAGTTGTGCATGCCTAAAGATATGGAGTTATTGATCAGAAGAGCAGGGGGAAATCTACTTTACTCTGATCTTAGGGTGTGATCATCCCCATACTGCAGAGGTGCAATCTGTTATCATATGTAGAAGACATGTGGAATTTGTGTGGATACATTTTATGAAAGTCAGAATGAGTGAAGCTTGTGTTCTAGATCAGCGGTCTCCAAATTGGGGTGCACACACCCCAAGGGGGTGTGCAAGACAATCCATTGGGGTGCGGGAAGAAAATATTAGAACTTCTATTTATATTTATATTTATATAATTGGGGGTGCGTGCTCAAAAATTTTTTACTGATAGGGGTGCACAGTCAAAAAAGTTTGGAGACCACTGCTCTAGATGGCCTTGCTAGAGAGTTACAGTTTGTTCTGAGCAGGCATGAACCCGCTGTTCACATTTCTATTCTACTTTTTTGCCTTTTCTATTTTTAGTGATAACCCGCATAGATGTTATTGGGCAATCTGTGCATAATTCCGTAATTGTTTCATTTGTTATAACAATGTGGTTTCCAAAGAAAAACACTAACTTTTGGTCTGAAACATTTGTTTCAAACGTATTTGAATCTTAAAAGCAGTGGCCAGAAAAAAATAGTAATAATCACATTATTTCTTAATAATGCTTATACTTAAACTGTATATTTTTTCAGGAATTCAACTGGTCAAAATTCATAAATAATATCATGACAACTGTGCAAATTAATGTTGAGAATATAGAGCCTGTGGTTGTTTACGCTCCAGAATATCTAATCAAACTCAAGTCTATTCTTAACCAGTATACTCCCAGGTAGGTATGATGGGCATGATTTTAGAATTTGCATTTTATCACCAATAAATTCTGAAAGCCTAAAAACATCATCAACTTCTTATTGTTGTTTTATTATACAGAGAAATTCAAAATTACATGGTTTGGCGATTCATAATGGATCTTGTAAACAGTCTCAGCCGTAACTACAAGGACACAAGGAATGCCTTTCGTAAGGTGCAGAAATCAGTTTTCTTTAAATTTTAAAGACGATTTTTTAACATTCACAAAATATTGACTATACTATACCATATACCTGTTTTAAATGCAGTGTGAAATTTGCAAAGTACTAAGCTCCAGATGTTTGCTGATGCTCCTGCTAGGATGTGTTTATAATTTATATGGTGTATCCTTGATTATTGGAAAGCAAGTCTGAGAAATATAGTCCTGACATCTGTGTCTATGTTGTTCTGAGTCTGAGTTAATCAGCTGGTTTTATGAACATTTTCTGACAGCACAGGACTATTTTAATGCAAATATATATGGCTCCTTACTTCTAATTGACTTGCTGCAAGTTGTTGAGTACCTAACAATATCGGATGCTGGAGCCAAACATTATAGATCCAATATTGCTGTCATTAAATGGTTCAGTCCTATTAGATCTGAGTGCTTCTGGTAGGTGCTAAGCTCTTTCACCTCTCTGTTTTAGATGGGAGTTGAGGGTCCTCAAAACCTTCCAAGCAAACTTTATTACTGTTTAAGATTCGTGCCCATAAAAAGGAAACAAACCTGGTTTACGGTCTTAGTTTATTAGTGACCAATGGCCATGGTAGAGAAAGCACTTGTGCGTACACACACACCCCTCGCTGTTTTCTGGAAAAAGAATCACTTTGGCACAGGAGGTAAATATTCTGATTATTCTTAGCACAGTAATGAAGTATGGGGAAGAGAGGAGTAACATTCTAGTTGATCATTTGGGGCATTTCTGAATATAATAGGTTTCATGAATTATTCAGCTACTTCTTGTACTTTTATAAATTATTATAGTATAAGCCTTTTTTAGTGTAGGACATTGCTCTAGTTTTAGTCATCACTGGGTTTGTCTACATGAGATGTTTACAGCAGAGTTGACTCAATAGCTCCACAGTAAAATGTCACCATCTACACATGTGGTGCTATTAGGATGGAGAAAACTCATTAACTCTGCCATAGGATAGTACTGCCAAACACAAATACTATCCTATGGTGGAGTTATTTACTCTGCCACAAAATGTGTAGATGCTGAGGTAGCTGGCTGAAGCATAAGAGTGCTTCAGTGCAGGGGCTGACTGCCAGCTAGCCAGCCCCTCTACAGCATGTTGAGCCGGGGCAGAACAGCCCTGGGCTGGCAAGATGACCTCCTGGGCCCCCTGCCATCTGGGGCTGCTCCATCCTAGCTCAATGTGCTGTGATCCTGGGCGTACATGCAAACATGGCACCCAGGAGCAATAAACTCCTATGCAAACTGTGCCAGAGCTTATTCAGCTGCATTAATTGCATATATAGATGGGCCCATGGAGGACAAGTATCTAAGACATCCCTGAAGAAATTTGATTTAGAATTAACAAAATTCTAGGCTTTAAAAATATACTTTACATGTAAATATATATATATTTTTTCCTACTAATTTGCCAAAAGTAATTGGTATGATGCTACACACACCACATGCGCGCACACACGCATGCACTTCTAAAACTGGAGTTTCAAATGGAGTGTCAGCTGGTTAGGATTTGCTTCACTAGAGTGTCTTCAGACATAAACACTTCAGAACACTTATTTCTTCCCCTGAATCATCTTACCATATTTCTTGGAAAGTTTGACAATTTAGTCACTTATTCTTTCAAGATGTCATATGTCTGGAGCTCAGATTTAGAGTACTTGATATATGCAACTGAGAGTCCCAAAGCCCTAGCAGAAAGATCATCAGACCTGTTACCACTACTTTGAAGATCTCAGCCAAAAAAAGCCCCTACAGATTATTAGATTATATATTCAAATAGGACTACTGCTGTTAGAAAGACAGGACACAGTCCCTGGCTCACTGGCATTCCTTTCTGCTCCTAGGGGACAAGTTGTTAGTCTGAACCATAACAGTTGCTGAAAACTGCCATTGCAGCAGAGAGAAGCTTACAAAAACAGTGAAAATGCATTTGATATAGCCTGGTGATCCTAATTAGTTCTTAATGCTACAGGAATATAAAACTCTGTGAATTACTTTTCTCTTCAAAGAAAAACACTGGCACCTTCCCTTTAAATTTTATTTTCTCTATTTTAAATAATAATAGGAAAAGTTGTAATAGTGTAACATTGGGATTGAGAATTTATGCATAATAACTTAATGAATTTCAGTGGTTTGTTTCTAATGCATCTGAATTAAGCCATATTCAATGAATGAATCTATAGTAATTGATTGCAGTTTGATGCCATTTGTAGTGATAGGCAAAGCAGATGTGTTTCCATTGTTATATGAAGCCTAATGGATTTCTAGGGGCAGATTCAGTAAATGATGCAGGAACTGGCAAAGCAAATCAGGCTTAATGGGGGTGACTTGTGGGTTCTTCTGTTGCAGATGAATCTTTGGCTGGCATAGAACCAGCATAAACCCTCCTAGCCAGTCAAGTGCTGGGCTGCCACCTGTGGCCTGATAAACAGCTCCAGCAACAACCCCTTTGGGTCATGGGAAGCTGATGTACACCTAAGCAGCAATGTGCCACCTTCCCTGATCTCCCATCAAACTTGTGCTGGGCATATCTTGGCTTATCTGCTGAATCCCGATTCCTGATCTTCTAGTACAGCATCTCTCTGATGTTATAGTATATGTTATAGTATATCATCTGTACAATTACATAGTCACAATGATTTTGTTTTGCTCTGGTTTTGAGTTTTGCTTTGCAGAGGGAGTTGGATTTGTTTTTTCTCTGTCCCGTTCTTGGTGGTTAAAAATTAACAATCCTCCACTCTGCAGCATCTATATTGCATTACAAGCATATTCCCTCTTATGTATGTGTGCAGCAGGTCTGGAATGGGAAGAAGCACATTAGAAATAGGAGGATTCGCTTTTCTATTCAGCTATTCTTAGCCATGCTGAATCACAGAGTCATGGAATAGCTCCAACAGTGTAGGTCTTCAGGGAACCCTGCAGTAGACAGTTTTTTACTGTGTTCTACTGATAACACTTTTGAAAGGTCTTTCCTAATTCTTTCTACTATTATTAGGGTGAAGAGGAACATATCAGCAGTTTTTCTTTCCAGTACCAGCATTTCAGGCCAAGGTGTAACTGTAGCTCTCTGTACATTAAGTCACAGGTCTGCAGCCTTGAAGACAGAGAAGCCAGGGAGTGACCAAATGGCTCCAACGTAACATGCTTTTTGTGCTATGATCTTTGTATTACAAGGGGACAGCATTGCATGCCATCTTCACAGCCTCAATTTTTATGAACTATTATGACAGAATAATTGCAGCTAATTAGCATCAATTGTGTATTAATTGATGGTACAAAAGATCATTGCACCTCCAGTAATCTGCAGTAGGGGCTGCAAGCAGTCAAGGCTATCCCAAAAGTGGGTGGCTCTGTCTGGAGGGGCAGTGTAGCTCACATAGTTAGGGTATGCATTATCAAGGTGCATTCCCTATTCTGACACCACTGGTAGTGTTTCTATGTAGCTGCTGTCAAAGCCACATTGAAAAAAACAACTTCCTCCTCTGGAAATGATTCCACTCCCAATCTCGGTCGCCCTTATCAGAATAAGGAGGTACAGTTCAGTTCCAGGCACAAATGGCATCTGTATCTCTCCCTGTCTTGGCTGCTTGTATTTTCCTTCCTAGCCCTTTCCACATCTTGGAAGTATGTAGTATGTTGTTAATGGCGCTCATACATTTGCTCAGCCTGTGATGGATGTTCAGTTTATATAGTGAATACACCTAACTCCTATTTAGACCAGTGAGAATTAAATGCACACACTGAGTCTAGAGTTGCTGCCTCTAAAATTCACAGTCTGGAAATCAGCCACCCTTCTCCTCCTCCTCCTTATGTTT